TTTTTCAGAGTTATAACAAAACAGTAACTGTTGGATTTCTTTTATCTGTCCTCCCTAAGTACTTTGGCATAACTATTTACCCTCTGTTTAGGGAGGCAGAATGTATTTTCTCTGGCTTACTGGCCTGTACTTTTAAATTAGCCTTTAAACCTTCTTTCTATGCATAACCATGCCTCAGACCTTCTATTCCAAACAGGCCTTTCCCAGTTTTCTACAGTTGAGGTTTGTACTACCCCTGACATGGGCATGGTCATGCAGGCCTACAAGACAGTATACAGGCTGCCAATTGTCAACTGTCTCTCAGTAGAGACCAAAACCTGATTCTTCTTTGCCTGTTGGGCACCTGCCCCCTTGGCAGCTAGACACCCTTTACTTTTGGGGTTCATCCCATATAGTCCCCTTCCAGGACAGCTAACACATAGCTATAACAATGTCCCTCAGTGTGGGAGACTGGACATTTGCCAGTTATTCCCTAAGACTACCAAGGACTGTAGGCCATCACCAGTCCACAGCTACAGCTACATTTAAACCTGTAAGAGAATTGAAGGTTAATACAACATATTAATACAATGAAACATAATATTGGCACCATGGCCGCTACAGGCAGCTAAATCTTCTGCTACTAAACATGAGATACTAAAGTCTACTCTTGACCTTTCTATAAATTGTCCTTGTCTCTTTGGAGCCATGTCCATGAAGATGCAGGCATCATCTGCGTCTTTTATACAGTTTTCTGCAGGTTACTGTCAGGGCTGTGCACTGCGGCCAGTTCTTCTTTCTAGCGATAAACACAGTCTGTCCAATTTCCTTAAAATGTATTCTGGCACAGGAGAAAGTTGTTTTGCTGTACACAGGTAGCTTAACCCCTATACCACTGGGCCTGGGCCTCTGCCCAGCAAACTGCAGTCTAAAAGTTCAATGCGCAGCCTCCGGTTCTCCCAACCCAACGATGCCTCGGCCAGTCTCCAAGCCAGACTCCCCCTCCCTTGGAGAATCCCAAAGTTCCAATGGCTCCCAGGTCCAGGGAGAGTGCCCTTTTGTGAACCCTGTTTATTAGTTACAGGGCCCAAAAAAAGTACAGCCTTCCAACTCCATGGAAGCAAACTCGAAAGCTAGACGATGGCCTTATGCCAACCGGCAGGAGTGACCCACCTCGTCTCAGATCCTCGAGGGGAACCACATCCCTCGTGAGGGGAATACGCATCCCTCCTGAAGAGCAGAACGTCTTCCGACTCTCCCCGCCCGTGGTCCTTCAGCAGTGCATATACCTAGACCGCTTCGGGCACTACAGAATTTCAGAAGTGAGCTCACACAGGACAGAACATATAACACACAGAACAGAATATACAACACACAGACACCTACCGTGGCCAGTCAGACTCTCCGGATCGGGGGTCCCTCGAGGGTCTTGGGGATCCCGGACAAGCCCCCAAATGTTATGCCCAGATTTCAGGATCCCCAAAAGACCACCAGGGAGCCAGCCGAGTCCGATGCAAAAGCAAAAAGAGTCTTTATTTGAGCTAGCTCGAGCTCCCCCCGCCCCCACACTCGCCGACGCAGCAGCAGGAGGCAGAGAGAGAGAGAGAGCTCTGTGGGGAGAGGGGTTATATAGGGGGTTCGGAATAAGGGGAGGAGAGAGGACTGTGGGCCCTGCTGATTGGCCAGGCACAAGTCAGCGTCTTGTTACACAGGATGTGGTTGTGTCTATGGCGTGCACTTCCCTTGATTGTCATTGGTTAGTTTAAAGAAATCCTAGGTGTGGCTAGCAGAGGCTTGGGCTTCCGGGAAGAAGCTCCTTGCTGAGCACATGGCTAATGGCTGCTGCCCCAAAATGGAGGACCCAGGGTAAGATGGAGGGCATAGCCCTTGCCCTTTCAACCTTTTTCATAGAATCACCGAAGTCCTGGCCAGAGGAGATTGTCTCCTCCAGACCCTTCATATTACTCCTGAGGGAGCTGGCTCAGAGGGAGAAAGTGATTGGCGTGGGGGCGGGGGGGGGGTGGTCCAGGGTCCTTGCAGATATAATTAGTTTAGATGATGTCATGGTGAAGGGCAGGTGGGCCTCGAATCCAACATGACTGTGTCCTTATAAAAAGAGGGAATGTGGGCAGCCAGGCATGCAGGGAGACACCATGTGAAGATGATGAAGGCAGAGATCGGGGTGATGCTCCCACAAGCCAAGGACACCGAAGACTGCCAGCAAACCACCAGAAGCTGGGGCGAGGCTGGGACAGAGCCTCACAGCCCTTGGAAGGAACCAACCTTGCCCATACCTTGATCTTGAACTTCTAGCCCCTAGAACAGCCGTGGGCAAACTACTGCCCGTGGGCCGGATCTGGCCCGTTTGAAATGAATAAAACTATTGAAATAAAAGACCGTACCCTTTTATGTAATGATGTTTACTTTGAATTTATATTAGTTCACACAAACACTCCATCCATGCTTTTGTACCGGCCCTCCGGTCCAGTTTAAGAACCCATTGTGTCAAAAAGTTTGCCCACCCCTGCTCTAGAACTTTGAAACAATAAATTTCTGTTGTTTAAGCCACTCGGTGTGTGGTGCTTTGTTATGGCAGCCCTAGCAAACATATACAGTCAGTATCACCTTCCTCACAGCAGTTTGTGTTTTTAGATGCCCCCCACCCCATGCAAACAAACAAAACCCACGGCTCATCTGTGAAATGACTGATGGAATTCTCCAGAGTAGAGAGAAACAAAACTAGGGAGAGACAACCAACTAATCAGTCAAAAAGGTGGTATTAACTGTTAATTAAAAATCATGAAAATAGTTGCCGAAACCGGTTTGGCTCAGTGGATAGAGCGTCGGCTTGCGGACTGAAAGGTCGCAGGTTCGATTCCGGTCAGGGGCATGTACTTGGTTTGCAGGCACATCCCCAGTGGGGGATGCGCAGGAGGCGGCTGATCGATGTTTCTCTCTCATCGATGTTTCTGACTATCTCTCTCCCTTCCTCTCTGTAAAAAATCAATAAAATATATTTAAAAAAAAAAAGCCGAAACCGGTTTGGCTCAGTGGATAGAGCGTCGGCCTGCGGACTGAGAGGTCCCAGGTTCGATTCCGGTCAAGGGCATGTACCTGGGTTGCGGGCACATCCCCAGTAGGAGATGTGCAGGAGGCAGCTGATCGATGATTCTCTCTCATCGATGTTTCTAACTCTCTATCTCTCTCCCTTCCTCTCTGTAAAAAATCAATAAAATATATTAAAAAAAAAAATCATGAAAATAGTTAAAATAAACTGAAACTGAAGTCCACTAAGCTAACAGAAATGTCTCCATTTCAGAAGGCAGAGATACGTGTTATTAATGTGGGCTTGTGCATGTGTGGGCATATTTGTAGAAGAAATCCCAGTGTGTGACAGCTGGCTTGATAAGAAAGATCTAGCTTCCCAAATACAGAAAACCCTAGGGCATCCTTTTCTCTAAGAATGGCTCGCTTGGCCTGTTGTCTTCCTCTGACCAGACCCCAAGAATGCAATGTTCAGGCCATAAGTACCCCCACCTTCCCTCATTCACTTCTATTTACTTCCAAAGAAAGCAGAAGCAGCTGACAATGTTCTGGTAAAATGAAAAATCCTTCCTGAAGGCTCTCAGAGAATAACCTAATTTGGCTTTTCCTAAGTGGAGCCAGGAGAGGTCTCCATCCCGGAGCCAAGAACAACCCCAGTCAAGGGCTTAGAATCTTCCAGAACCAACTCATAGAGCTACCTCTGAACGAGTGTCTCTTAAGTGGGTTGAAAAACACGTTTTTGGTGCTCAAACAGGTTTGGGTTAATGAAGTTCCACAGGACTCTGGGCTGCAGGACTTCTAAAAAATTCTGGTATGTTCCACACACTGAATGTCTCCAAGAGGGCCGGGTTACAAGCAGAACTTCCTGTCCTTTTGACCATGAAAACATGTCTCTGGAAAACTGCTCCTGGGGTTGGACTCTCATGAAACGAAGTTGGGAAAACAGCCTTAGACTCACCGCTGGGTCATGAGAGAGGAGCCACTCAAACTCACGCAAGAAGGGACATAGGCACAGGACCAGCTAGGGAAGGCTGGCCCAGGAACTGGCTTGTTTGTTATCTTTGCCAGCTGACTCATTTTCTAGATAATTTGCATGAAAATCCTTAAAAAGTCATGGACAGACACTGAAGAGAGCTGAACCAGGAAGAAGGAAGAGGGGAGAAAGGAATCTATATCAAAGCCAGCTTGGAAGAAAGGAACCGGGAGGGAGCCCAAGGAGAGAAGGAGGTGGGACCGCCAGGGAGGCCATCCTGAGGCTGCCGTCATTAAATTTCCTGAGGATCAAGTCTCGCTCTTAGCACACACAAGAAAGATAACCATCCACTTACACACTCAACGGTGCTGTTGAATTAAAAAATCCCATTTCAGAGGACTTTAAAAGGCTCTTTCTATTGTCAAGTGTCCTGTGAATATTACAGAGCGATGCGGCACTACGTTAAATAAGCTGAGAGGCACGGAGAACTCCTAAGGTAAACTTCGAAGCTGTGAGCGTCAAGCCACACTCATCCACTCGGCTCCCAGGCATGGTTTCTCTAAAGCGAGACGCTCCTCCTGTGGTCGATGAGGGAACTGGAGGTGGGGAAGGGAGGGGCTGGGAAGGGGGTGAAAATCCCGTTCTACTAGAGCCCACTGCAAGCTGGGCCTTAAAACACGGCTTGGAAGAGATGGTACGTTACAGCTGTTAATAAAAGGCCTCTGTCTCCTAATAAAAGAGCTGTCATGGATGGACACAGGCCTGAGATTCCGAAGACTTTGGTTGGAGTGAGAGTTGTGGTAACTCCCTGGGTGCCCTCGCGGGGCTCCTCTCCTCCCGGCCTCTGTTTGCGCATCTGTAAAGTGAGCATCAGTGGCCTGGGAAATTCTGCTTGTAACCCTCCAGCTTGGAGGCATCCAAGACCTGGATCACAGGGGAGATCTCAGGGCCCTTCTGGGGGTTAAGACGAGAGGCCAGTCGAGGGGGCTCACCCCTGATTTTACCTGATCTGTTTATTGGGGTTTCATGTAAGAGTTCCCTCGAAGAAAGGATTCAGCTGCTAAAAAAGTTGGGAATCACTGGACTGGGTTTCTTTATCTATATAGTGGGAGGGTAAGAGTGCTCCCCGCTAGGGTGTTGTGAGGAGTAACTGGCAACAAGCAAGTAAGGCATAAAGCCGGGGCTGGTGCACGGGCAACCAGGCTCACAACTGGGAGCCCTTATCATGAGGCTGCTGCTGGAGTCACCGCCGCCCCAACCCTGCTCCCCGCACACATCACCAGAGGGTAGCTTCCCTCAGGCAGCCCTGTGTCTTACTGTCCTCACATCCCGGTGTCCGGCCCTGTGCCTGGTGAACGTACTAGTAGGGAATGAGCCCATTTGGGTTTTGGTCTCAAAAGTGTCCTTGGAACTTTGGGCAAGTCCCTTCTCTTCTTGGATCCTCTCTTTTCCCACCTTTAAAATGAAAAGATGTGACCAGGTCTTGGAGGGCTGGGAGCCCGAGAGGGGGAGGGAGCGGGAGGAAGAGGGAGGAGGAAGGCGATGAAGCTGCCAGGGCCCCTGCATGGCCCGCCCGAAGCAGAACAGTGCCCGCTGCCTGCTTCCTAAACGGGTCCCGGTCCCAGTAAGAGCTGGTGAGAGAAGTAAGGGGCAGCTCCATAAATGTAACACCCATTTAAAAACCGAAGTCTCTCAAAGCTGGTGTGTATATCACACTGAGTGCATCTGGCCACCCTGCTTCTCAGCAGCCTTAAGCTGCTGCTGCTAAATATGAAAAAAAACAAAAAAAACAATTTACAAGCTGTGCCAGGAAATGAAGCTGGGAGGGATGGTCAGTAAAAACCAGCGGGTCAAGGGCTGAGGCCATCCATCAGCGGCTTCAGAAAGGAGAGGTCGGAGACGGGACGCTCCTGGAGAACCAAATAAGCCTTTAAATCTCTCACCGAAGTGGGCCCCGTCACTCCCGCTAATGGCTCCTCCGGCCTCCGCCCCTGTGGGAACACTTGGGGGAAGCGCTGGAGTAGCATCTTGATTTACGGCATACACTTCCCTGAGGTCAGGAGGAGCTGAGTCACAAGTTCAAATGAATATTTTCCACTTATCGCATCTTCTTATTTAGCCACAGAGAACATCTGAATAGTGGGCGAAGAAAGAGTGATTAACAAAGTTGATTTCATACCCCATCTCCTCCTGTCTCTGTCTCTTCTATTTTGGAATTCACTTTGTTGTTGTTTAATCCTCACTCAAGGATGTGTTTCTATTGCTTTTATTGAGAGAGAGGGAAGGAGAGTGAGGGATGAGGGAGACAGAAACATCCATGTGAAAGAGAGATATTGATCAGTTGCCAATCGGGGATCCACCCCACAGCCTGGGCATGTGCCCTGACCAGGAATCGAACCTGCAACCTTTCAGTGTATGGACTGAAGCTCCAACCAATCAAACCACACCGGCCAGAGCTGGAAGACACTTTGTCTAAAGGGTAATGCCCTGCGCCCTCACACTGAAGGCTGTGCCTCTCTCTTCCATGGGCTTCAGGGACACACGCGGGCCTGAGAGTCCCTATTCCTTTGGAAGGAGCTGTCTCTCCCAAGCCCTCCTTCAAGGGGCACCTATGAGGGGCAGCCATGCTTTATATCATCACCCCACCCCCAGCAGATTGGACAGAACAGGTGCCTGATTCAAGTCAATGACCTGGAGGTGGCCGGGACAAGAAAAAGGATGAGTTGGCTGAATACGAGCTCCTTTCCTCTTCGGCATTTGTGTTCATTTCCCGGGGCTGCCCTAACGGAGACCACAAACCAGATGGCTTAACCAGCAGCAAGTTATGTCTCTCCGTCCTGGAGGCTAGAAGTCCAAAATCTAGGCGTTGGCAGGGCTGGTTCCTTCTGAGAGCTCAAAGGGCGAATGTGTTCCATGCCTCTCCCCCTGCCCTGGGAGCCTCAGGCTTTCCGAGGCTTCAGCTGGCCGGCTCCCAGTTCTGTATGTGTCTGTGTCCAAATGTCCCCTTTATATAAAGACACCAGTCAAATTAGACTAAGGCCTTTCCTCACGACCTTATCTGAACTTGATCATCTACAAAGACCCTATTCCCAAATAAGGTCACATTTATAGGTAGAACTTTTGGAGGGAGATAATTCAACCCATAACAGCACTGAACTGGGACATAAAGAGGGGATAAGGCAGGTGGTAGGGGAAGCTGGGAGTGAAGAGAGGTGAATGTGTGAAAGCTGAGGCCATGAGGTAAGAGACGCGTGGGGAGTGAGAGTCTTCATGGGGGATGTGTGAATTCATGGGCTGAGAGAGAGATGGAGAACATGGTGTCCCCAGACGTGCTCAGTCCCTGCTCCCTCAGGCCTGCATTGCTATGGCTCATGTTGGATTCCTGAGGCCCCTGTCCTCCCACAGTCCTTAGGAGGCCCCCGTCAAAGCACTCAGGTACCTTGAGTGAGTCCCTGCTCCTACAGCCAAACAAGAGGAGAGCTCAGACTCTCACCCTCTGCTTCCCTCCTTCTCAGTCTCCTTGATGATGGATTCTTCTTGCCCAGCTGTTCCCCTGGGCTCTTCCCTCTTCTCACTTCTCACACTCCCCCCGGGGTTCTTATCTCCCATGTGAGGTCTGTTACCAGAGATAAGCTGATGACTCAGATGGTCTCTCTCCAGCTCAGGCTCCCTGCTGGGCAGTCTCCTGGCGTCCCTCAGGCTTCACGTGCCTGACCCTGAGCATGGCCCACCTCTCCTCCACCACCATCTCCTCACCTGGGTGATGGCCCCTCTGCCATCCATCAGTCACCCAGGCCAGACACCTGGGGTCAGCCTGAACTCCCCCCTCCCCACTCCTGAGCTCTGGTAGGTCCCCACACCTGTCAATACCCTCTCTCTTTTTCTTCTCTATCTCTGTCTTTATCTTTTTTGAATGTTATAGTTTTATTTAAATTGTGCTAAAACATATGTAAAATAAAATTTTAATCATTTTGTGTAAATTTCTGTAGCATTCATATTGTTGTGCAACCATCACCACCAGTCATCTCCCCAACTGAAACTCTGTCCCCACTAAGCACCAACTCCCCATCCTCCTCCATCCCCACCCCTAGCCCCCTGCAACCACCACTCTGCTTTCTGACTACTCTGCGTGCCTCACCTGAGTGGAATCATACATTACTTGTCTTTTTGGACTAGAATCCTACCTCTGTAACAGCCTTTGTGTCTGTCCCTCTTCCCCGGCTCATGGGGCTTGCCTTTTTAAATCTGTTATTACAACAGCTTCCCAAAGGGTCTCCCTGCCTCCATTCTCCTACCTTCCTGTCCAGATGATCTTCGTGAAAATCAGTTCTGATGCTGCTCCCAAGCTGAAAGCCAACTTCAACAGCCCCCATTATGTCAGACAGCACACTCCCCAGCCTGGGGCTTGAAGCCATCCCAGACCACTCGTCCCTGAGCGCCCTGGAATTTCACACAGCACCCCCAGCCTCCTTATTGGTGCACGTGGCCTCTCCCCACACCCTCCGGTGCAGCCCTCTGAAAGCAGTGCTTCCCCATCTTACAGAGGAGACTGTGGCTCCCACACCTCTCAGCTTCCAGGCGGGGCGGGCAAGGGCAGCAACCACCTCTGACCTGCTCCCCATCTCTGTGCGCAGCCCTGGCCTGGCTCCCAGTCAAGGCACCAGGACTGCAGATCAGTCAGGAACAGAGTTCTGGGGACAGTCCCCCAGGAGCAGGGTGGACAAGCATGTTCTATCCCAGGCCAGCGGCCCGCAGGGAACATAGTAAGGAACATAGTAAATTGGCCTCGACCAGAGATGGTGGGGTGGGTAGGTGTGAAAGGGGTAGATAGCAGGTAATGGAAGCTTTTGGGGAGCTTCCTCAATGGTTACATTTTAAAACACTTAAAATGCGATGCAGTAATTATACCAACAATCACTCCGCTGCGCAGAGACCCTTGCAGCTTATGAAACAACCACCATTTTCAGGCCTGCAGGTTCAGGTGCCCTGTAACCTGGGTGTGTTGTCACCATGAGGGATCCGGACAGACAGGGAGAGGGAGACAGCCGGACTGAGGGCTGAGCTCTCCCAGCCCCCTAGGTCCCAACCCCCTGCCTCCCGCTTCCCCGGGGCACCCTGCGTGAGGCCTGAGCTGCTCCCCCTGCCCTGCCGATTCTCCCAAGCACGGTTGGCCATGGAACTGGCCAGGTCCAGTGCAAAATGAGGCTGTGGGGTCCTTTGTTCAAAAATGGGGGGAAAGTGCTATCAAAGGTACTGAGACATGAAGTTTTTCCTTTCTCTCCTGGTCTCTCTCTCTCAATCGATCACGGCGTTTTTAAAATGTACCATTTAATGTCACTGTCTACACAGGTGCCCAGAGCAATTCACACCAAGTCCAGTGGCTGCCAGCTGAGCCAGGCATCTCCCCTTCCTTCCCATAGGCCGCTGCCCCAACACATGAGCCTAAGTGCCTGGGTCAGGGGTAGAGATAAGAGGCTTGCCCCCAGAGTTGCCAGCTGAATGCAACGGGGGGGGGGGGGGGGGCGGGGGGGGGTTGTGTGCAGAGAACCCCAAATGGAAGCTGATCGGGTGTGGGGAAGAGAGGCTAGTGCAGTGATGGCGAACCTTTTGAACTCAGCGTGTCAGCATTTTGAAAAACCCTACGAACAATAAAGATTTAATTAATAATAATAATAAAAAAAGACAGAACTTGGCTAGAGAACCTGGCTGGAGAACGTGGCTAAGCTGCTGATCAACTGAAAAAAAAAAAAAAAAAGAAAAACCCTAACTTAACTCTGCCGTGTCATATATAGAAATTTTTTGATATTTGCAACCATAGTAAAACAAAGACTTATATTTTTGATATTTATTTTATATATTTAAATGCCATTTAACAAAGAAAAATCAACCCAAAAAATGAGTTCGCATGTCACCTCTGACACGTGTGTCATAGGTTCTCCATCACTGGGCTAGTGGGGCCTGGGGGTGACGGGAGGTGAGGCAGCTGGAGTCTAAGAAACATCGCCAGGAAGCACAGAGGCAGCAGGAGGTGGGTCCTCCTGTGAGCCAAGGCTCCGAGCACTGGTGCATACGCCTTTGTCAGTGGGGCCTCATTTAAAAATAGAAACCCAGAGATAAAATGAAGAATTTCAAGAAAGCATCTGCAGCGCGTTTAACCAAGCACGGGTTAAGCGGGAAAAGGGCTCTGTGCAGCCGCACAGCCTACAGCCCTCTTCCCAGGAGACGTGCCTCGAAGGCCCCAGGGCCAGGCTCAGCCTTCTCTTACCTGACATGGCTCTCCTCCTCCCTGTTTTCTTCCAGATCCTGGGATCCCTGTCCCCTGGATCTATAGGCAGCTGGGGCCATGTACAGTGGCAGAAGGAGCTCAGGTGGGAGTGGACTGGTTACAAGTCCTGACTTTGGTTGAGGACTTGCTGTGTGACCTGAAGCAAGTTGCTGTACCTCTCTGGATCTCAGTTCCCACAACCTAATTGAGTGTTTATTGAAGACCTACTTTGTGCAGTGTGGGCTTGTGTGGGAGAAACAGAAATTAATAAGGGAGTCCCCAGCCCTTCGGAAGCTTACAGTTAAGGATCCCTGGGGTAATGTCAAATGCATCATCTCTTCATCCACTTCCCTCACAGGGTCATTAGCTCCACTTTACCAATGAGCCTCCTGCCGGGTCAGCCTGGTAAAAGGTGAAAGCTCGCACTCGGGTCCTGCAGACCTGGGCTAACACCCCGCTCTGGCTCTTACTGGCTTGGCAGCCTCGGGCACGTCACTCATTGTCTCAGGGATTTGTTCGTAAAGCGAGGGCACAACAGGTACCTCTCAAGGGTGCTATGAAGGGGAAATGAGATGAAGGATGATGCGGTTCAGCTTGCTGGTTTTTATGCCCCTGCCTCAGTCCCAACAAGCACCAGCCCAACAAGCCAGCCCCACAAGCCCTAGATGGGCTGAACAGCCATGGAAAGATCTGGGGGTTCTCAAGTGACTGTCCCCCCAAATGTAAGTCAACAGTGTGAGGCCTTGGTCCCAAGAGTCAGGCTGCTATCTCTGCTGCATGAATGAAAGTACAGTGGCCACAGCAGGGCTGATGATGGTCTTGCTGGACTTCATGCTGGAGCTCAGCTCTGGGCTCCTACTTTTGATTGGAGAGCTGTTTTTTTGTTTTGTTTTGTTTTTAAATAAGGAATTGGTTATACAGTATACAGCCACTGTATACAGCCAAGTGTGCAAATCTTAAGGGACAGCTGACTGAATTTTCCCATAGGCACACACCTATGTAAACACGCAGATGAAGATATAGGACATTTCTAGCTTTCTCACTCCCCCTTCCCACCCCATCTCCCTAAATGGTAACTACTATTCTGACTTTTAAAACCATAGATTAGCTTTGTCTGTTTTTGAACATACATAACTGGAAAAGTACAGCGGGTATGTGGCCACTGGGACTTGACAAGTTGAGATTTAAGGCCCTTCAAGACCTGCTTCTATTATGAAAAACATGTTTGGGGCCACTGAATGGACAGAATGGGGACTCAGAGACCAGCGGTCTTTAAAAGACTGTTCTCAGGCCCATGTGCACTTATTTTCCCTGGCTGATCTCATTCTCTTAGTCACATGGGAAAGCACCTTCTGAAAAACCAGAGAAGCTGAACACGGTGACTCCATCTCTCTCTGCAGTTGCTACGAGCTCCCTCCCGGGGCACACTGAGCCTCGAAGGTCCACAGGTCCGTCAACGATGTCCAGTGAGTGGAGTCAGAAAGGCCCAGTGTGTGTTTATTCTGCATCTCTTTTTTTAAATATATTTTATTGATTTTTTACAGAGAAGAAGGGAGAGGGATAGAAAGTCAGAAACATCGATGAGAGAGATCGATCAGCTGCCTCCTGCACACCCCCTACCGGGGATGTGCCCGCAACCAACGTACATGCCCTTGACCGGAACCGAACCTGGGACCCCTCAGTCAGCAGGCCGACGCTCTATCCACTGAGCCAAACCGGTTTGGCATTATTCTGCATCTCTTGAGGTCATCATGGTGCCTGAGTCACTGCATCAGTCACTGTAAGTAACAGGGTTCCAGGAAAGGACTTTGAGATCATCTCTCTGCCCCACTGCCCTGCCCACCTGCCCTGCGAACCATGTCACTCTCCATACTCTGGCTTCTTCTCCGCTCATCTCTTCAACTTCCCTAGTTCCGGCCACTGTGCCCTCCCATCAACCTCTGTCTTCTGTGTCATCTCTCTCCACACCAGCTTTAAAGGCATCTAGCAACCAAATGTCTTAATACAAATGGGAGAGGCCGTCAGAGTTCTGCCATCAGAGGTATCCTCTCATTGAAACCCCCACCCCAAGACTGAAAGCTACTTGAGGGCAAGTATCTCTGTCTCCCCTGGCCCAACACAAAGCCCTGTCCCTCTCAGGGGCTGAAGGCAGTTAGTTGAATAAATGAATGAATGCCTAGCAGGATAATTCATTTTGACAGTCATAAGTCAAAACCACTGGCAGATAAAAACTGGCTTGTAGGAAAACTTGTGGAGCTCACCCCTGTTCTTGTCCATTTTACAAGCACAAACTTTATCACTTTGCCTCATACATTTATGAAGAGTGGTCTTATATTTTCAAAAAAACTCAT